TAGTGGTCGTAACAGTCGTAGTAGTAGTAGTAGTGGTAGTAGTAGTAGTAGTAGTAGTAGTAGTAGTAGTAGTAGTAGTAGTGGTAGTAGTAGTAGTAGTCGTAGTAGTAGTAGTAGTTGTGGTGGTGGTAGTAGTAGTAGTAGTTGTAGTCGTAGTAGTAGTAGTAGTAGTAGTAGTAGTAGTAGTAGTAGTAGTAGTCGTCGTAGTCGTAGTCGTAGTCGTAGTTCTAGTTGTATTAGTAGTGGTAGTGGTAGTGGTAGTGGTAGTAATCGTAGAAGTCGTAGTAGTAGTAGTAGTAGTAGTAGTAGTAGTAGTAGTAGTAGTAGTAGTAGTAGTAGTAGTCGTACTAGTAGTACTAGTAGTAGTAGTCGTAGCAGTAGTCGGAGTAGTAGGACTAGTAGTCGAACTCGTAGTAGTAGTAGTAGTAGTAGTAGTAGTAGTAGTCGTCGTCGTCGTCGTCGTTGTAGTAGGTAGTAGTAGTAGTAGTAGTAGTAGTAGTAGTAGTAGTAGTAGTAGTAGTAGTAGTAGTAGTAGGACTAGTCGTAGGACTAGTAGTCGGACTAGTAGTAGTAGTAGTCGTAGTAGTAGTGGTAGTAGTAGTAGTAGTAGTAGTAGTAGTAGTAGTAGTAGTAGTTGTCGTAGTCGTAGTCGTGGTCGTAGTTCTGGTAGTATTAGTAGTGGTAGTGGTAGTGGAGTAATCGTAGTAGTAGTAGTAGTAGTAGTCGTCGACGTCGGAGTAGTCGGACTTGTAGTAGGACTAGTAGTACTAGTAGTAGTAGGTAGTAGTAGTTTGTAGTAGTAGGTAGTAGTAGTAGTAGTAGTAGTAGTAGTAGTAGTAGTAGTAGTAGTAGTAGTAGTAGTAGTAGTAGTAGTAGTAGTAGTAGTAGTAGTAATAGTAGTAGTAGTAGTAGTAGTAGTAGTAGTAGTAGTAGTAGTAGTAGTAGTAGTAGTAGTAGTAGTAGTAGTAGTAGTAGTAGTAGTAGTAGTAGTAGTAGTAGTAGTAGTAGTAGTAGTAGTAGTAGTAGTAGTAGTAGTAGTAGTAGTCGGAGTGGTCGGACTAGAAGTAGGACTAGTAGTAGCAGAAGTAGTAGAAGTAGTGGTAGCAGTAGGAGTAGGAGTAGGAGTAGTAGTAGTAGTAGTAGTAGTAGTAGTAGTAGTAGTAGCCGGATTAGTAGTAGTAGTAGTAGTAGTAGTAGTAGTAGTAGTAGTAGTAGTAGTAGCAGTAGTAGTAGTAGTAGTAGTAGTAGTAGTAGTAGTAGTAGTAGTTGCAGTAGTAATCGTAGTAGAAATAGCTTTTCGTCTGGGGACTCCCAGGGGCCGCCCCGCGTGCACGAATTAGGTTGCCCCACCAGCGTCTGTCTGTTCTGAACGGGGGCAGGTCGTGAACTCAACTTCGTCTTCGTCCGCGCGGTAGGGAGGAGGAGGAGGAGAAGGAGGACACGCAAAGGATGACGACGACGACGGCGATGATGATGATGATGTTGATGATGATGATGATGCGGATGATGACGACGACGATGACGACGATGATGATGATGATGATGATGGTGGTGATGATGATGATGAAGAATGTGATGATGATGATGCTGATAATGATGATGATGATGGTAGCAATGATGAGGTGGCTCATGATGAGGATGCGGTTGAGGATAAGGGTGAGGATGATGATGAGGATGCTGATGGGGATGATGCCGATGCTGCTGCTGATGCTGATGAAGATGATGGTGGCAACGATCATTCCGATGATGCGGTCGATGCTGATTATGATGATGATGCTGATGCCGATGCAGATGGTGATGATGCTGCTGATGATGATGAGGATGATGCTGATGATGATGACTATGACGATATTGATGGTGACGATGATTCTGCTGATGATGATGATGATGATGATGATGATGATGATGGTGCTGATGCTGATGATGATGCTGATGATGATGCTGATGATGATGCTGATGCTGACGATGATACGGATGATGCTGATGATGATGGTGTTGATGATGATGTTGCGGATGATGATGATGATGATGATGATGATGATGATGATGATGCTGATGATGTTGATGTTGATGTTGATGATGGTGGTGATGATGATGATGATGATGCTGAAGAGGATGATGAGGATCATGATGCTGATGATGCTGATGACGATGCTGATGATACTGATGCTGATTATGATGTGAGATACTGATGATGTTGCTGCTGATGATGATGATGCTGATGCTGATGCTGTTGCTGATGCTGACGATTATGATGCTGATGCTGCTGATGATGATGATGCTGATGATGATGATGATGCTGATGCCGTTGCGGATGCGGATGTTGATATTGATGATGATGAGGTTGTGGTTGTTGATGATGTTGATGCTGATGTTGATGCTGATGCTGATGCTGCTGATGATGCTGCTGCTGATGATGACGATGATGATGATGAGGATGATGATGATGATGATGCTGCTGCTGCTGCTGCTCCTGCTGCTGATGATGATGATGATGCTGATGATGATGATGATGATGATGATGATGATGATGATGATGATGATGATGATGCTGATGATGATAATGATGATGATGATGCTGAGGAGGAGGCGGAGGAGGAGGAGGAGGAGGAGGAGGAGGAGGAGGGGAGGAGTAGTAATAATACCAAGTTTAATAGTAATAGTAGTCGTACCAGTAGTAATATTCATAATAATGCTAGTATTAATGCTAATGCTAAGTATTAATGCTAATGCTAGTAATAATATCAAGAATCATAAGAACCAAATAATACAATAATAATACTAGTGATACTATTTCGTATGAAAATAACAATAGTACATTATAACAAGAAGAGGAGGAGGAGAAGGCCTCTCAGCGGCTTCCAGGGGTTCTCTTTGGGGCGTGCGGCGGGCCTCTCGGGGGCCTCTTGGGAGCCTCTTGGGGCCTCCTGGTGGCCTCTTGGGGCCTCTTGGAGCTTTTTGGACCCTCATAGGGCGGCTGTTGGCTCGTCTGACGCCTTCGGAGGCCGTCTTGCGGGCCTCTCTGGGCCGTCCAGGCGTCCTCTTGGAGTGCGCGAGGGCCATTTGGGAGCCCTCTGTACTCTTGTGCCGACTTGGGGCCCTCTTGGAAGCCGCTGGACCATCTTGGAGGCGTCTCGCGCACTCTTGGACTGTCGGGAACCTAGACGCCTGATAGCATCATAATTACTCAATCACATATATGGGTTTCAGCGTTTGTCGCCTCATCGGAGGCTTCGTGGGGCCTGATGGGGTCTCCTGGGCCGTTTGAAGGAGGCTCTCGTCTTGTCTGGCGCTTTCGCAGGCCGTCCTGGGGGCCGCTCTGGGCAGTCTTGGTGCCCATTGGGGGCGCCATGGGGCCGTCCTGGGGCCCTGTTAGGGGGCTCTTGGGCGATCTCAGGGTTCTATTGGGCTGACTGAGGGCTCTCTTTCAGGGCTCAAAATTTCTTACAGATTTGCACGCCACTACAACCCAAGATGACAGTTTGCATGCTCTTTGACCCTCAATTGTCACATCCGGCTGGCCGCGCACGGCCTTCAGCTGCGCCGAAAGAAAGAAAGAAAGAGGGCCCTCTTTGGGGACCCCTTCGGTTGTTTTGGAGATATGTTGGAGGCCTCTTGGGCCGTCTTGGGTGGTCGGGACACCCAAACATGTGCTACGCAATTTGAAACTCCTTCCCGCAACCGGAGCCAATCAGTGTTTATGCCCCCCTCGGGAGTCCCTGTGGGGCCTTTTGGGGGTCTCTTCGGGGCCGGTTGGGGTCTCCTGGGCCGTCTCGGAGGCTCTTGGACCGTCTGGTGCCTTCGGTGGCCGTCTTGGGATCCTCTTGGCAGCATTGGTGCCCTTGGAGTGCTTGAGGACGATTTTCGGGTGTTCTCGTGGGAGGCTCGTAGGCGATCTTGGGGTCCTCTTTGGCAGACTCGGGGCCCTCTTGGAGGTTTCATAGGTTGTCGTCGAGCTGTCTTGGAGGCCCTTTGGGTTATCTTGGACTGTCGCAAATCGGAGAATTCGCATGCGGTTCTCCGCCGATTTGTTGCACAACGCTCACACGTTTTCGTGGCCCCACAGGGAGCGCCGAAACCCTCAGAAGGGGGGGGTCGCACGTGGTTATCCACAATTTTCAGCACACCCCTCACACGTTTCGTGGACCCGATGGGAGGTCCACCGAAGCCCCTACGGAGGGGGGTTTCGCATGAGGTTCCTCGCCCGTTTCGGCACACCTGCAGTAAGTTTTGTGGCCCCACAGAGAGGTCCACCGACGCCTGCAGGAGGGGGGCCTTCGCTTGCGGTTCTCCACCCATTTCGGCACACCCCTTACGCGTTTCGTTGTCCCTCGGGGAGCACTGAAACCTCCAGGAGGGGGGTTTCGCATGCGGTTGCCCGCCCATCTCGGTACACCCATCTCTCGTGTCGTGGCCCTACGGGGATCTTCACCGAAGGTACCAGTGGCAGGGCCCGTATGGGTCCCCGCGCCCATATCGGCATACACCTCGCACGTCTGGTGGCCCCATATGTAGCTCTACCGAACGCGGTACCCACGCAGCAGTACTGGCAATTGCATACGGTTAGGTTTTTTGCCAGGACAATGTTCCATTCTCTGCCTTCTGTCGCCGGTTTCTCGCGGTTTGCCGAGACCCTGCCGCCAAAGCCAGATTTGTTTTTTGTTGGGTGGGTTCTTTCCACACTCGATAAAGCTGTAATGGAGGAGGAGGAGGAGGAGGAGGAGGAGGAGGAGGAGGAGGAGGAGGAGGAGGAGGAGGAGGAGGTGGAGGTGGTGGAGGAGGAGGAGGAGGAGGAGGAGGAGGAGGAGGAGGAGGAGGTGGAGGGGGAGGTGGAGGAGGAGGAGGAGGAGGAGGAGGAGGAGGAGGTGGAGGAGGAGGAGGAGGAGGAGGAGGAGGAGGAGGAGGACAGGCGAGCGACGGGGAGAAGGTGGAGGTGGAAGGATGAAGGGAGAACGTGAGTGAGGGGGACGGCCTGGTTTTTTGGGGCTCCCAGCCCCGAGGCTTACGGCCACGCCCGCGACATCGACGGCGTGTGGCGTTGCTGGAAGGAGCTGCGGTGGGCTGGGTCGCGCGCCGGGCCGGCGGCCCCCCTGCGAGTGTCAGGCCTCTCCTGCTGCTCCTCTCTGCTGACTCCCGACTCCTCGTTCTGATGTGCGTGGTGTTGCCTTACCTTTCGCAGGCCCAAAGATTGGCACCCACACTAACATCGGCACCGAGGTTCTTCATGCCTTGTGATGGGCACCTTGTGATGGGCGTGTTTTCCACCACAACCATAAGTTGGAGGGGGGGGTCCCCTCCTCCTCTTCTTCTTCGTCCTCCTCCTCCTCCTCCTCCTCCTCCTCCTCCTCCTCCTCCTCCTTCCCCCCCATGCCTTCGCAGGCCTAGAGGTTGACACCAACCAAACCTTTTCTCGAGTTCGAGGGCTTCGGACACACATGGGTAGGGTTCATTATTCCAAGGTTGCCTTTATTCGGAACTACCAGGGGTCGAGTCTACGTGCAACACATGCGCTTTCAGCGTTTTGCACACCGGTCGGCACTCACGGCTCACCTCGCTTTTGAGTCTTTGGGATGTGCGATCGGCCTCATTACTGCAGAGCCGCAATGTTCAGTTGCCGAGGCCGAAGGCGCACAGAACCAGCCGTGGCCTGCGTCTCGATGGCACGAGGGCCCCCCCCCAACTCAGGAGTACAGAGCATGTCCAGGGAATCCCTTGGGTGTCTCAGAAACAATCGGAGCAGTGACGTATCGGTTCTCAGTTGTTGCATTCCCTGGTTCGGCTTCTAGCAGAACGTCTGAGGGCTGGCACAGAAGGCTGGCTAGAGCACCCCGCGTCCCCAACGTGGGCCCCGCGGGCCCCGACTTCTTTTCGTTGGAGGCCTCTACAGGCCCTAGCGGCAGCGCCATGTTCGTCGCTCACTACGTTCGACCAGTGTGAGCATCAGGGTCAAGAGGTGGATCCTAGTGCTGTAGGCCTTGCCTCCGCCACCATCCTGTCTTTCAGAATGGCTTCGTTACCCCCTTTGCTGAGAGCCACTCCTGGTGACGGGAGGTGCTCACATGGGCGCCAGGCCCACAGGGTACTTCTTGGGAAACATCAGGCTGGCCAGTTTTTAACGGTCGGCAAGAAGGCTTACCCAGCTGGCTTGTGCAAGGCGCTAGCCATGGCCATATTAGATTGTGTCCAATCCCTCCTTCCCTCGGTTGAGCCTCCCTCCTCCGTGGATGACGTGGTTGTCGCGGAGTATCCGCCAGACCTCGGGGGGGTCAGCAATTCGTTGGATGATTCTTTTGTGCCCTTGGGCCGCTTCGCCTCGGAGGGAACGGCCCCAGCGCCCGACTTCGCCGGTTTTGTGTCTCGGGGTAGTCGCAGGAGCGACCCCGAAGAAGAGAGGTTTTTTTGACTCCGACTCTGAGCCTGAGGAGACTACAGTGCGGGATCGTGCTGCCGCGAGTGTGCTGTCTCTGGAGAGTTTGGGGGGTGCCGGGGCAGAACAGGCGGCGGCCGACCTTCTCCCTGGCCCCCCAGAGGAGCAGGCCGCGACCCAGCCGCTGATTCTACCCTCTCCTCCCTCTTCCCCGCCTCCGCCTGCCCCCCTTCCCCTTTCCTCCGATCAGCTGGCCAGGATCGCGGCCAACCGCGCCCGTGCCAGGGCGATTCGGGGGATTCGGCGTGCTGCGGGGCACGCGAGAGGAGCCACCTGGGCGTTTGGAGGCGCAGGCGTCCTGTGCGGGTCGTTCTTCCCGCAAGAAGGGGTGCCGGCCTTTTCATCGTGAGGTCTGGGCGGTGGCTTAAGCGGTCCACGCGCCGCCCGTCCCAGGCCCGTGTGGTCGGAGCACGGTGAACCCCAAGCCCCGCGTTGAACAAGAGCCTGACTCCTCTCTCCTCTTCACCCCTCGCTCCTCCTCCTCCTCCTCCTCCTCCTCCGTCGTCCTCCTCCTCTCCTCCTCCTCCGTCCTCCTCCTTCTCCTCCTCCTCCCTCCGCCTCCTCGTCCTCGCTTTCCTCCTCCTCCTCCTCCTCCGTACCCCTCGTCCTCCTCCTCCTCCTCCTTCTCCTCCTCCTCCTCCGCCTCCTCCTCCTCCTGCTCCTCCTCCTCTTCCCTTACTCCTCCTCCTCCTCCTCCTTCTCCTCCTCCTCCTCCTCCTCCTCCTCCTGCATTTCCTCCTCCTCTTCCCTTACTTCTCCTCCTCCTCCTCCTCCTCCTCCTCCTCTTCCCTTACTCCTCCTCCTCCTCCGGGGACCGCTCGCGGGCCCCGGGGACCGTGGTGAGCGGATCCAGGGCGCAGAACCGCACCAGAGGGACCCCTGGGGGGGTCCGGGGACCGATTTTGAGCGGACCTGGCCCCATCCTCCCTGCTGGCCGATTTCCATGGGGTCCCAACCTGTTCAGACCCCCCGTGCGCCTCCAAATGGCGCGAGCTCCCCGTGGATACTGCGCAGTCGGGTGCTGCCGTGTGGGAGCACCTGCGGGCTCATGTATGTGGAGTGATGTTGTGTAGCAAATTGCAAGACCCGGTTGTTCATTTGCTTGCTTGCTTGCTTGCTTGTTTGTTTGTTTGGTTGGTTGGTTGTTTGTTTGTTTGTTTGTTTGTTCGTTTGTTTGTTTGTTTGTTTGCTTGTTTGTTTGTTTGTTTGTTCGTTCGTTCGCTTGTTTGTTTGATATGTTCTTGTATGCTTGTTGACTTATCCAGTCGCGATAACGGCCGTGTGTGTGTGTGTCTGTGTATGTGTGTGTGTGTGTGAGGGGAGGGGCAACGTCACGACTTGCGCTGGCGCCGTCCTGGAACTGACTGCCCCTATGCCTGACTGCGCATGCGCGGATCGTGGCGTTGCCGTGGGGAGGGGGGGGGCGTCCCCGGGGACCGGCGCCATCACGAACCGCTGATATGGGGGCGGCCGAGAGAGGGGTAAGGCTTCTTCGAAGAAGAACACACGGCATACAGTCCGGGCGCTGAAGAAGGAACCCTTTTCGTTGGGGAGGGGCTCCGTGTTCCTGAATTGTTTCACAGCTTGCCTCAGGTTTTCCTTAGGTATTCGATAGGGGAATCGGAGTTTCACTTATGGAAAAAAAGGGGCCTCGTTCCTTATTTGGGGTTCCTTGGGTCAACGCCCCGACTGTGCACATGAACTTCTGGCGCTCCGCGCGGATTTCTTGGATCTGTGCTGGGCCCCCCTGGCGGCGCCTCCGGCGCCGCCGTCGGCGCGCTCCGCGCGCCAGGGAGGGGGGTCCAGCGCAGATCCGAGAAATATGCGCGGAGCGGGCAACAATTTCTGTTTGTGCCGTTTTTTCATTTTTGTTTTTGTTTGTTGAAACAATTCTGGGGAGGTTGATGAGCATGGCCGCGGTCGTGATATCTCCTCGGATCTCACGTCCCCCTCTTCTGGCCCCCCCCTCGTCCGCGCACGTGCCTCGCGCCAGGACTTGTGAGCCCGCCTCCCTCTTGGACGCCCCCGAAGGTAACGGCCGGCGGCGAGCGAGGGGGGGGTGCAAAGGGGCGGGCCTTCCCAGAGGGCTCGGAAGTCCTCCGGCCTGCTGAGAAGTTCTCAGAGCCTTCCCCGATGACGCAGAACACTGCTCAGAAGGCCAGAGGGCTTCTGAGAAGCCCCGCCGCCTTCTGAGATGGTCTTCTCCTTCTTACTGCCACCCTCGCTCGCCGCCGCATTTGGCTTTTGGGTCATAGCTCCGGTCTCTGGCGGCCGTTCGAGACGATCCGGGCATCCCTGGAACGCCTTCGGCGAGGCGCAGCTGCTCACGAGCACCCCGAGGCAGGAAACCGCCGAGAACCGAACCGACGAAAGCGTCCGAAAACCTCGAACCTCGAAGCCGAAACTTTTTACTGCCCCCCCCTCGCCCGCCGCCGCAACGGGCGCCCCCGCGAAAACCGTGGAAGGCGCGCTCCGAACGAATGCCGAGCCCCCCCTTGTTGAAGGTGATGGTTATAGTATGGACTTATACTCACAACCTGATGTATTTTCTTCCACTCCACCTGCCGGACCCGTGTCTTGCAATGTTTGAGCGTCCGCTGCTAAGATCTTTACACGGCCAGCTATCGCTGGGCAGGCATCTGGATAGAACATGAAACGTGAAACCTGCATCTTGAGCCAAAGGAGCCGAGCCCCCCCGCGGCCTAGGAGATGCGTTGCCGCCACGTGCGCCCCACCAGCATCACGCTCGGCTGCATGGTCGAGGCGCCGGGGCCCGCGGTCTCGCGGGCGGTTTTGGGGCCGTGGATGAGGCACCACAGCCCACCCAGGAGGAGGAGGAGGAGGAGGAGGAGGAGGAGGAGGAGGAGGAGGAGGAGGAGAGGAGGGGGAGGGCGAGGGAGGAGGGCGAGGAGGAGGAGGAGGAGGAGGAGGAGGCGGAGGAGGCGGAGGAGGGAGGAGGAGGAGGAGGCGGAGGCGGAGGCGGAGGCGGAGGAGGAGGAGGGAGGAGGAGGAGGAGGAGGAGGAAGGAGGAGGAGGAGGAGGAGAGGAGGAGGAGGAGGAGGAGGATAGGAGGAGGAGGAGGAGGGAGGAGGAGGAGGAGGGAGGAGGAGGAGGAGGAGGGGAGGAGGAGGAGGAGGAGGGAGGAGGAGGAGATGGAGATGGAGGAGGAGGCGGAGGAGGAGGAGGAGGCCCGCACTCCCGATCTGGTGATCCAGGTGGTCCTTGCTGGGGGTAAGGGCGGCTTTTACACCAAAGCCCTCACTCCCCCCCCCCCCCCAGCCAGGACCCTCCGGGATCACCAGGTCGGGAGTTGGAGTGCTGGCTGGGAGTAGGGGTGGGCTGTGTTGCCCTCAGTGGGGGTGAGCGGGCGCAAGGCGGGGTCGAAATGTGGCAGGTTCGCGTCGTGCCGACGCGAACCTGCAAAGCCCGACGGACCGGGGTTTGCATCGATCTAGGTCAGGTCGTCTCCGAAACAGACGTAACAAAACCAGCATGAAGTCTTCTTCTTCCTCCTTGGATCGGCACTGACCTCCCTGGCGCGCCAGAGGACGCGCCAGAGCCGCAGCGGGGTCCAGCGCCGATCCAAGAAACCTGCGCGGACCTCCGCGAGTTTGTGATAATGATAGTTCTTGGGGAAACTAAAAGGCACCGATACCGCTACTCTCCGGACCTCTCCGGTGGTGCGTTCTGACCAGAATTTCGAGGCGAATCCAGCGGTGGCGACGAGGGCCTCCCAGGAGACCCAAAAGGGGAAAACAAGGGAAGGGTAGAGGTATGGGTACCTCTTCCTCCTCTCAGCTCTCTGTTCATCTAGCAGAGCGGAAGGTGACTTCGACAGCCTCTGGGGGCCCCCGAGGGCGGCGAGCGTTCGGGGCCGAACGGCGCGCGCGGCGCCAGAAAAACCAGGGCCCGCGCCGTAGGGGCGGGAATGTTGCGGTTCACTGCGCAGGCGGTTCTTCGCCCCCGGTCTCGGAGCTCTCCCCCAAAAGTCTCGGCGGCGAGCGAGGGGGAGGTGACAAGTTTCGGGTTCGAGGTTCGAGGTACGAGGTTCGAGGTTTTCGGGCGCTTTCGTCGGTTCTCGGCGGTTTTCTAGCTTCGGGATGCTCGTCAGCAGCTGCGCCTCGCCGAAGGCGTTCCAGGGATGCCCGGATCGTCTCGAACGGCCGCCGGAGACCCGAGTTATGACCCAAAAGCCAAATTCGGCGGCGAGCGAGGGGGGAAGTAAGCAGGAGGAGGCCTTCTCATTGGACTCTTGGCTCGATGTCAGAGGGACCCTGGATTCCTATCCTATGGCGCTCAAGCATTGGCCTACGGATCGCTTTAACGACACTATTCTTCATCCGCATACTAGGTACGCCTTAGCAGACACTAGCCCTGCCGATGCCCGCGAGCCCGAGAGGGCCTGGACATATGTAGACGGATCTGTCGACCCCAAATCGCCCGAGAATGGTGCATGGGCCTTTACTGTATTGCATCAGATCTGCGATCGCTACACTTGCCAAGGATATCTATCAGCTGAGAGCTTAGATTCTACAGCGTTTCCTTCGGATCCTTCCAGATGGACAAGTACTAGCATCGAAGTACACGGAGACATATGGGCACTGTTATGGAGTCTCCAAGACCAGAGCAGCGCCCCAGTCTGCGTCATCTCGGACAATTTTGCTGATCGGAGTCATAGGTGCAGAGAGGCCTGGCGGCCCATGATGCCCCCCAAGACCCCCGAGCAGCTAGTTGAGGATAAGGAAGGCATAGTCGCAGCCAGGAAAGCTAACCGCAAAGCGGGGAGACCTGAACACTATGCTGAAAAACCGGCCCCGCGCGCGCGGAGGGCCACGCGACGCGGGCGACGCCGCGCGCGGGACTCCCTTCGCGCCCTCGCGCCGCCCCCTCTCCGAGGGGCCCTGGGGCGCCCGGGGGCCGGCCCTGCGGGTGCACACGCAGCCTCGCGCGACGGCGCCCCGCGGAGCGCGCGCCGGCCCCCCCCCGTTGGAGAAGGCCAGCTGCTCCGGCCAGGCCGCGACGCGCGCGGCGCGACTGCCAACTGGATAAGAGTGACCTTTGGTGCGCAACTTTTTGGGGGCCGCGGGGGGATCAAACCTCGGTGCGCAAGCAGCTGCTACTGCTTCGTTTTCGGCCATGCTCCTGCCAGTCAGCACGAGCGAGACAGGCCCACGCAATTACGCAGTATTTCTCGAGGCGTTTCGTTTTCCCACGGCAGGGCGGGTGTATACTAAAACCACCACAAAACACTACTATACACCCGCCCACACACAAGTATGCACCCACCCAGGATTATATACACCCGACGACAACATTGACACATGCACCAAGGAAACAGCGTATACACCCACCAAATCCGGGCCACCAAATACTGGCGTACTGGCAGAGAGGCGGGCCCACGGGGTTCGCGTTGCCGCTCCAGCGCGCGCGCAGGAAGCCACGGGGCTGGTTGAATGAACAAGCCGCGATTCGTCTGGGCTTTCTCCCAGACTGAGTCTTCGGGTTGGGGCGGTTCCGCCCGCGCGGCTTGCTTGGCCCCTGAGACTGGGCTGAACCTTGTCGACGATGAAGATGCGACGTCGGCATGTCCCTCGGGGCCAGCCATTGGCTCTGCCAGATACATGCATATACGGGCGCTGTAAAGCGGGGTGGGTGTCGATATTCTGCTCCCCGTGGAAGGCCACGTGGCCGACATAGGCCACGAAGGGATCCGCGATTTCCCCGGGGCGAAACGAGTGCAACCGAATCCCCAAGAAGGCACCTTTTGGGTGGCGCCCTAACGCATGGGCCGCCGACGGCCTCAGGCCATGCACAGCCGTCGGCGAAATCCCAGAGACGCTACTACCCCAAAGAGCTGATGCCGTGGCCCCCATTCTCTGCACAAGAGCCACATCGGCCCCAGCCTCCCTCAGAAGTCGAAGACGCTTCGAGCGCGATCCAGCATCAATGAACTTCGCCCTCTGCGCCCCGATTCGTCGTCGTGAACCAGTAGTCGCATCTTTGCCTAGGTTGCGTGCATGCTCGACCCGAGACGATGCTGGCAGACACGGCTCCAGCAACATGCGCTTGGACTTCACGCGTGCACATGTACTTCGTCTTCTTGATGTTCACAGGCAGGTGAAGCTCTTTAAAGCGCGAGAACAGCTGCCCGACTGCACCTGCGAGCACCCGCGCAACCTGAGCTGGGCGCCCGCACGCCTGGAGCGCCACATCATCTACCACATTGCGCATGCATAAATTGGGGCGACCTTGCTGAGTGAGCAGGAGAGGACGGAGCAGCAGTAACTTGGCCAGTATTGTCGCCCCCGAGCATCCTGCCACCGCAGCTGCATTTGCCAAGTATGCCGACGATATTGCTCCTCCATACATGAGAGCCTTATATATAGCATAGATCGAACAGTACCCTTTGAGGACCTTGATGGGGGACCTATACTGGAGCCCAGCAACCCTAAGATGTATATGCCTGATGTGCTCGTAAAAACGGCTCAACTCTACCAAGACAGACCCACTCTGGAAGCCGGCGTCTCAGCAGAAGTTTCCCAAGAGGTTGTGGACCCAGCCCGCCCTCTCGCGCGCGTTGTGGGTCCCCGTGCCCCAATAAAAGGCCTATGCATGCTTCTTCTCCCATGCCTGGCAGTGTGGCTGACGTAGTCGAGACCGCAGGCGCAGCGCGAGGCAGAGGAGGCCGATGGGGCGCACGGCGCCGTCGGGCATGTCTAAAAAGACCATGTTGGTCATGAAAGCGAGCAATTCCTGTGGTCTGTCCTCAAACCTGCGCAGTATATCTAGAAGCCTGAGCTGGCGTTCTTCCGTGAGGTTCAATGCCCATCTTGGGTGGGGACCATCCCACCCCAAACCAGCCCCTGGAGCGTACTTACGACAAGCCTTCAGGAGCCGATTCAAAGATACGGGTTCAAGCTGAGCTTCATCGTCGGGGACAGACCACTGCGAGGGGTGCTCATCTTGCCTACCAGCTACGCACCAGAGAGGTCCCATTCAATTGATAGCGTAGAAATAGCACCAACACCTACATGCGGGACGCCCTTGGCGTCGAGAAAAGAAGTATAGTTCGATGCCTTCTTAGCAAACTTGTGAGCCGCCTTCCCTCCTCCTTCAACGCTCTCAACCGCCCAGCTCCTCCACTCCTTCAGTGAACGTCTTGAGTCCTCCCGTTTCCTGCTGTCAACCTCCTCGTCTATCTTATGCAAGGCGTCGTGGGCGGGCTCGTCGCCCGCAGTGACAACGTCGGCGAAGGTGCTCAAGCACTCGGGCGAGAGCTCGGGGTCAGCGGCGAACGGGCCCATGTCAGCGACCATGGCCTTCAGGCCCCTGGGCCGCTGAGCGAGGAGCAGGCGGCCCGTGCAGCCAACTTCTCCTACCCGTGTCTGTCAAGTTTGCCTGCGCAGCGCAACATAGGAGACCCGCGCCGTGGTCGACCTAGAAAACATGTGCCTCTGGTACTTTTCCCACACCGATATGAGAGGAACCGCTTTCGATTTGGGCCCTGCGGCCCTGCCCACGAAGGCCCTGGAGTTCTGCTGGTCTACCCCGTGGATCTGGATCAGACGACGCTCCGAAAAACCGAACCATTCCTTTACCATGAGGTCCAGGTCTGACGGGGCACCCACATCCCAAGACCAGTTGTGCACCTGCGGGGCCTGCAAGCGTCCGATAAGCTCCATGGGAAAGGCCTTGAACTTAACTTGCGGGTTGATCGTCGACTCGTGGCTGAGATCCTTAAGCTTTAAGATGACTGGCGCGTG